GTGCTGCCCCAGACCCCCTCCCAGCCATGTGCCCTGAAGCACGCTTGCACCCACCACCGGCGCAGAGTCCGGCTGCGGCTCCAGAACCCAGTGCTTCTGTTTGTAGCTTCCCAGCTGCCTGCCTCAGCCAGCCCAGGCTCCAGGCAGCTGCTGCCTGCCACAGAGCCCCAGATGCTTGCAGCAGGGCTTGCAGCCTCCTGGCAGCCTGGGCTCTGTGCCCAGTGGCGGCTGCCCAAGTCCCAGGATGGCTGTGGCATGCCAAGCAAAACGGCCTTGCATGCCATGCTCTGGCGCACGTGCTGGGTGTTGCCAACCCCTGTTCTAGGCTCGCCACTCCATAAATGGTTAACCTAGGAGCCTGGGCTTGAGATGGGGCATCTAGACTTCTTGTTCCATAGTGGGGAAGTCTCCTACCTCTGACCCACTCGTCAAGCTACCCCTGAGTCAGGGACCCTCACTGGTGCCCCCTGGCATCAATGCAACCAATTGCTCCATTTTGTTTTGGATGGACACACACGGGCACATCACGCCTTACGGAAAGTTGCTGCTCTGATTCCCTGGCCTATGACATGGCAACAGGGATGCTAAAATTGGCCTGGCCTGGGCTGAACTGCCTTTTATCTAACCGCTTAAAAAGCCTTTGCAGCAGCCTGTGTCTCCAAGGCATTGAATAATGTGCTGTGACTCAAACTCTCCCTTAATGGTTCTTTCCTGTCTTTCTGCTGAAACAATCTGAGTAACTTCTGTCCTCTGGAATTGAGAGAAATGTGTGTGTATCCATGAACTTGGCGCTGTACTGCCTGTGCAATGCAGCAGCCACCGCACATGCAGGCTTTTCACAGGAGACTTTGGCTCCTTGGCCTAGTCGAGGGAGCCGTTTTTGCTGAGCGCCTGTAGTGCTAGCACAGGGAGGTTTACTCCTGTGCTTTCTCTTGCTGGGCATAAAGGGGTCTTGATTCACATGCTGGTTTTTCTAAGTGTTTCTATCGCACTTGTCTGCCATAGTTACTGTTGTATTAGTGACTTCAGTTGTGAACTGCATTGTCAAGAGCAGAGCTGAGCAGGGCACGGGGCAGATCTTCTTCTTCCCCCTCAGATCCAGCCCCCCACAGCAGCCCAGGGCAGATCTTACCATCAAATCATAGAAAATGGCTCTTTATGTTAATGCTTTTGTTGAATGAGATGGGTGGCTCCCCATTAACCCTTGCACTGAGACCATGTTGCACCCAGCAGGAATTTGAATTTGGCTGGTGATGATTCCAGAGCCTGAAAAGAGAAGACTGAACTGTCCTCTGATGCCTTCGAGCAAGGGCATTTCCAGAGGAGTAGGTAAAACACACTGGCAGGGAGCTAAGGGAGGATGCCACAGCTGATCTAAGGATAAATAGAGGATGTCGGTCTCCAAGTAAACAGACACACCCCTCGCCAGCAATAACTGCACTTTAAACACTTAAAAAATAAACTTCCGCTACCTGTCAAAGAAAGCAGGGAGTTTGGTGACAAGTGGGTGGCACCAAGTCCATAATTCAGAGTGGACCCTTGCTGAAGGCCATACATTGTAATTTACAGCATAACAGAAATGAGAATGGGTCTCTTCCAACAAAGATGTCCTGGTGTGATATCTTATTACCTGGACTACCTGCACCGTGGTGCATTGACTGGCATGCTGTATGTGTACTATGCACTGCCAGAAAGCAGAAATGCAACAAGATAAAAGATGACAATCCATTTTGGCAGGTATTATCCAGGTTCTCAAATGCCAAGGGCACTATAAATAGACACAGGACAAGGGTCAGAGAGATCCTTGCTGTATAAATGTAGGCTTATTTAGGCCTTTGCCTTGAAAATGCTTCTAGCCATGCCCAGTGTTATGCACCGTGAGAATTTCCATTGACTCCCATAGGGAAAAAACCTTAAATATGTACAGCTTTTTTGCTGGGGTCAGGGCTTGTACCACATCCAGAATCCACCGATGGCAATGGGACTCCTTCCGCTCATTTCAGGGGGCTTTAATCAGAGGGGCCAGCTAATTCTCAAAGCACGGTTCATCCCACTGGGTCATCCCACTAGGAATCGGCAAGCTTTCCACTGTGTGCAACAATCCAATGGGCATCATTTTTGGCTTCCCTAAAGATTCCTGCTTTCATGTGTTTCATGGTCTTGTTCATTTTTAACATCCTGCTCATGGCCGGGAACATGGACTGCAAAGGGATGGTGCAGGGATGGGTGGGAAAACCACTATCTGGAGGTAGTTCTCATTGTGATGTTAAATCATGCATGTGGTGCTTACATTCTCCAACCAGCGGTATATTAGAAACATATTAGACCAGATTTTTTGTCTTGAAGTTTTTAATTGGGTTGTCCCTCAGGTCCTAGTATAGGCTATCATGGTGATTTATATAGAGGAGGTGTTCACCATAGAAAGCCACTGCAAATACAGGCAGAATAGATGGCTCTGGAGTGGTGCTATGTGGCTTGGGGATGTTCCCCTCTACCCAGACCTGGTCTCAGGCTCTTTCTTTCATGACAAAGAGCCTGAACGCAGCACCAGGATGTAAATTCAGAGCTACTCCAGGCCATCTACTCTGCCTAACTGATCTTCTCTAGTACACCACAAAGGAGTAAGCAGGCGTACTTTGTCAGTGGGCTTATTTTGCCAGTGGAGGACCTTGGGTCGGGAGGCAAAGACATGCTTGCAGATTAGCTTCTGATAAGCTTGAGTTCCAGTTCAGTCTCCTTTGTTTACCAGGAGCCACCTGCATCGGGAGCACGTTGTAGCACCACAGAAGATTATATTGGTTTTATTGCAACTGCAGGAAAAGTGGTCGAGCACCTCCACGTTTTATGAGCAGTTTCTGTCTAGCAGCTTTGGGAAGGTCAGGAGAAGAGGAATTGCTTTTGCTGGCTCTCAGGAATGCAGACTTCTTCAAAAGACCATTGTAGGCCAAAAATCGGGACTCCCTGGAATCGTGGCGCTTTCCGAGGCCTCAGCTGATGTTCATTGTTGGTTGCTGCCATCCTGGAAACTCTCAGTACAATAGGAAATAGCCAAAGGGAGGGGTTTGTTTAGCTTCAGGGGCGAGATTTGGAAAATCTCCTTGTTCTTTTCCTTCTTCAACTCTCTCATTAGTCCACAAGACCTGACTCGAGGAAAAGGGGGTTCTCGTTCTGGCCATGAGTCATACATGTGGCCTGGCGTTTGCGTCTGATTAGCAGTGGCCTGTCCAGCTGCTACTCCATAGGTCTCTGATGAAGGGTGCAGGCAGTCTATGGCTGTCTGCCCTACAGTAGGGGAGTGTGCAGTCCAGGTAGCTTTTAACCTAGACAGCTCCATATCAGTAGCAAAGAATACCCAGGAGGGTGAGTCCAGCGTGGGCTTTTCATGCCTGGGCTGAACACTGTGCTGTCATGTCTTCACTGCTAATTGGTACCTAAATTACCTGGATTCAAGTGAGGTTTGGGTGTGCCAACCTGTAGACATGCCCCATCTGGTAGGGGTTTCCCAGTCTTATTTTGGCCTGGAAGACAGAGAGCTGTTTGTGTGTTTTACCAGTGCTGAGATTGGGTGAGGGTGTCTGCAAAAGAGTCAGCAAGCGCTGAGCAAAGAAGAACCCAGGTATTTGGATAGGGCTGTTTCCCAGCCCAATTAATTCACAGCCAACCGTCACACTAAGCATGCCCTGCTCACCTGTTTGTTTCCAGAGTTTCTCCACTCAGGTGGAGCTTATCAGTTGTTGCACACAGCTCATCGGAGAAGAGAGACTGTAGCACCTCCTTTCCCTGTGCAGCTGTTTGCTGGGGCTCTACATCCCCCGGTTACTTTTTAGGAAATCTACTTTGCAAACCTCCTCTTTGCAGAGGGGTAGGAAAGCTGACCCAGTGAAGAATCCCGATCCTACTGTGCTTTAAAACACACATCTGAGAAACAAGAGTCACTGGAAGAAAGGGCCAGCTAGCAAAGGGGTGGAGACTGCACAGCCTGAATAGCACTGTCAAGTTCAGACACAAGCATTGTGCAAACATCCCCGACACAGCCCAGCCTTTGCACTTTGATTGCAGCCTGCAACTGTATAGGTGCCCCTCCAGCTAGACCTGCAGCCCATGCAAAGTGCAGGGCTGAGCCTTTGTACAGAGACTGCTCGCTGTGCCTAATGGCTCCTGAATATCTAGACCTCCCAGCTCATAGACGCGGAGCCTAGCATGGAGAGAGCATCTGCCAGGGAAAGGTGACTGAGTTGAACTTGTGCTGAGTGGCAGGTGCCAACAGGCGGACGTATCAGTCGTCAGTGAACCCTGTGCAACATTTGCACAGACCATCAGGTGCTTCTTCAAGATGGGAACATAAGGCTGGGGGAATAAAATCTACTCTTTGTTCTCATGCCCTGCCCCAGTCCTGCATGGCATAATTCCCGTATAAAATTTGTCTTCCTTGCCTGGCACTGGCATCCTCTGTGGCCCCCCAGCATCTCAGCTATGATCATTCAGTGGTTGGATGCCATGCAGCTAATCCCACAGTTTTTGCTCCCCACTCTACATCGTGGTAATATTTCTAGCTGCTGTATTTCAGGAGGAAGAGGATGGATGTGTCACTCCACAGGATATGGGCCAGGCTGCTCCTGCTGTCCCTGCTCTGTGCCACGGGCCTGTGCCAAAAGAACAAAAGTAAGTTCAGCTCTTGGCACCCTCTGCCTCCCAGAAAACTCCTGGAAGTCTGTACTTGCCCTTCCTTGGCCCCATGAATGCTCAGGTTGCCCTGTTGTCACCCACTAGCCTCCTTGTACAGACTCTTCTGCCAGTCACTGAGTTGGGGACTGAGCTGAGGGGCATGCCAGGAGTCCTGTCTCCTCGGTTCCTGTGCTGATCCATAAAATCCCACTCTTTACCACATCCCTCTTGTGTGCACTCTCCCTTCTTCACCTTAGCTCTCCCACTGGTCTGGACAGCTCTCTTTTCCCTACCTGCTGTTTCTGGCTTGAACCAGCTCCCATTCTTGTGTAGTAAAGCTCAACTTCAGGGAGCCTGTTCATTGTGACTTGTCCCTTCTCATGCCTCCAAGGGACGGCAGGATTCCTGTGCTCTTGACACTTTGTTCTTGCCTCCTAGTTAATCGCTGCGTGGCCTCCAGGGCAAAGAGCTGCACAGAATGTATCCGAGTGGACAAGGACTGCTCCTACTGCATGGAAGAGGTGAGCATCCCCCTTCCCGAGGACACGGGGGCCCTAGTTTCCCCAGTCCCAGAAACTGTGACAGCTCCAGTTTCCACATTCAGTCGGGTGTCTTCCCCTTCCAACAGTGAGGGACCCTGAGCAGAATCCAGGATGGGGCCACTTCACAACGCAGACCTCTCTCGATAAGGGGCCAGACTTGACTTTGAGCCCATTCAGCTCCAAGCTGAACCCCTCCAGGCTTGGTAGTATTTTGGCTGCAGCCTATCTTTGTCCTTCAACCTGTTGCTTCTCCCCTTTGGCCCAGTTCAGTACCAGCCCAGCCCCCTATTCTTGGGGGGAAATTCAGGCCAGCCCTTTGAAGGCCACTATATATGAGGCTTCTTCCATGTCTGTGGCTTCTGGACATGAAACAAATGGGAACTGGGAAGAATGAATTTGTTAGCAGGGCCGTTTGAGAAGGATGCACAGGCTGCTGAGGGTCTGGTCCCAGCTCCCAGACTGTGATAACAGAAAGGGGGCTTCTCTGGTGCAGAGTCCCTGCCCACACTGGCTTGTTCTGCCCCAGCTCACTCTAATCCCAGTGTAGAGGAGAACCTGCCCCCTGAGGCATTGCATTGTATCCCTCCACAGAGGTCTCTGCTGAGCTTTTGTGTCTGTGCTTTTCCCCTCCTCTCTTACCGCAGAACTTCAAAGACAGCCGATGTGACTTGAGAGAGAACCTGGTGGTGTATGGCTGCCATGAGGCCAGTATCGTGTACATGAAAAGCGAGATGACAGTCCAGAAGGTGAGGGTAGCATGGTTTGAACCTCAGCAATAATCCACCGGGCTGTGGCTCATCACTTCCTTGAGCAGGCTTTTATCCTGATTTCATTAAGAAAAGGGCATCAACATGTCTCTGACTAGTCGTGGGCTGGTTACAATTGCACACCTCTGCCAGATTCCTAAATGTCTCGTTAGGATTCTTCGCTATGCTGTTGGGAGGGTGTCAGTACAAGGAGCTGTTGTTTATGTAGGGCCCACTCAAACACACGGCTCTCCCTTGTCTAGTTGCAAGCTGGTGGGAGGACCCAGCAGGGTAAATAAGCATCAACTCACTGGCTATAGGGAGCCATGCAGCTAATGGAGAATCTGTCCCTGTTAATGCAAGAGAGAACTGGGGGAGGAGGGTGGTTCACCCAACTGTGGGCCTCTGGGTGCAAAGCCCAGCCTTCCTGCCAGGATCAGTCTTGCCATCTGCGTGCTCAGGGCCAGGACTGTTGTAAGCATGGTAAGGGCAAAAGAAGTTCATCCCTTGTGTGGTAGGCGTCTGTGTATATCTCAGCTCCAATTTCCTCTGCAACTCTCATAACACGTTGCTGGTCTCTCCCCTGGTAGAACGTCAGCATCAACACCTTTCTGAAGAAAACCCAGATGTCTCCGCAGCAGATGTACGTGCGGCTGAGAGCCGGGGAGGAGGCCAGCTTTGACATGGATGTCTTCCAGCCCCTCGAGAGCCCTGTGGATCTCTACATCCTCATGGACTTCTCCTACTCCATGTCTGACGACTTGGATAACCTCAAGAAAATGGGCCAGCAGCTAGGTGAGGCCAGGGCCTCCCCCACTATTGACAGCTTGCACCAGTTGCGGGCTGAGGGTGTCCCATCAGGGGTGGCAAGTGCTATGGCCAGCACAGAGCCACACTCCTGGTTTGCTCAGGCCTAGCCCCTTTCTCCCAGCTTGGGGTCGTCCTCCTGGTCCTTGCTGTCACCTGCTAAGCCAGGATTGGGGACCAGTGAGTTAGAGCTGAGGCTAATCCCATGATGATAAGAGTTATTAGTTATTTCAGTGACCATAGTGGTGGCAGATGATAAAGCAATTGTTTCAAGTTGCAGCAAGGGAAGTTTAGGTCAGATATTAGGAAAAACTTTCTCACTAGGAGGATAGTGAAACACTGGAACAGGTTACCCAGAGAGGTTGTGGAGTCTCCATCCTTGGAGGTTTTTAAGACAAAGCCTTGGCTGGGATGATCTAGTTGGGGATGGTCCTGCTTTGAGCAGGGGTTTGGACTAGATGTGACCTCCTGAGTTCCCTTCCAGCCCACATTTTCTATGTTTCTATAGCACCCAGAGGCCCCAGTCCCTGACTAGGACCCCACTGTGGTAGGTTCTCTGTAGATAAAGAACAAAGAGTCCATTTCTACCCCAAAGTTCTTGACATCTGAAGTAAAATGAGAAACAGCAGGGAGTTATGAACAGCCCTTGTGCTAGCCAGGAGTCCTGCCTGAGATGTGGCATTCAGAAAAGCGTAGGAGAAGGTGACCAGAAAAGGGAGCTGTCCCCAACAACAGCCGCCCCAGGGCTATCTCCCAGCTCACTCCTCTCTCCTCTCCTCAGCGGAGGTCCTGCGAAAACTGACCTCCAATTACACCATCGGGTTTGGCAAGTTCGTGGACAAAGTCTCAGTTCCGCAAACAGACATGAGACCTGAGAAGTAAGTGAAGCCATTGGGTCCCAACAGACAGGCTTAGATGAGAGGGGACAGGAAACACTCACCTTATTTCTTACTGTCTCCAGGACTAAATCACACCCTGACCAGGCTTTGACCCTCTCCTGCTGTGATTACTGCAAACCTCTGCTGTCCTGCCTCCCTGCCTTCTCCAACACATGGCTGGCAGTGCCACACAGCCACACTGCCCCTGCTCCTTGGGTCCCAGCCTTGGCTTCCCACATCCTGATGCACGTAATTCAGTGCCCATCCTCTCTGTCAGAGCCCATCCTAATCCCATCCCCACCTACATCTCAGCTCTCACTTCCTAAGCTTGTCCCAGTCCTCTCCTGTCACTCCTCCACCTGTCTCTTTTTGACTCCCTAGCTTTAAGCCTTCATTCATGCTACCCAGCTCTTGGAAGGGGGCTCTTTCACTCTGAGTCATCTGTGCCCCCTGCTTCAAATCTCTCCATAAGCCTTACGTCTTTTGAGGTCCCCTCTACTTTCTGCCGATGTCCTGCTGAGGTTTGCGAGGCAGGAGCAATTTCATCCACTGTACACACGATGCTGTCATGATGATCTGTGCATGACTTCCCCAGCCCCATTTGAAAGCCCTTTGCTCCCTTTCCCCTACCAGGCTGCGAGAGCCCTGGAATGGAGCTGACCCTCCCTTCTCCTTCAAGAACGTCATCCGCCTGACCAGCAACATTGACCACTTCAGCAGGGAGCTGATGAAGGAGCGCATCTCCGGCAACCTGGATGCCCCAGAGGGTGGCTTTGATGCCATCCTCCAGACGGCTGTTTGCAAGGTGGGCCCAGAAGGGTTTGGCTTCTCTGGATGCTCTGTGCGTTGGAGTAGGGGAGAGAAGTGGTCTGGGCACCTAACAGTGCAGCTCACCTGCAACCCAGACCTCAGCCCCATGTGGCAGGAGCTACTACTTTCCTGGACTGTCCATCCCACTCCTCTCACTGCTGTCGCTGTCTGGCAGCTCATCTTGCCTTTCTGGTTCTCCCGATAGTAAAGCCTTTTGAGTGGGCAACCCTAGCCTGGTGGTAGAACGGCAGGCCCAGGAGCCAGGCCCTGGACACACTGTGCTTCCCTTGTGTGTCCTTGTCTCCTGTGCTGTCTCCTCTCCCCTTGCTCCTGTGGCTGTGTGGATCCATTCCCCAGGTGCCTGCAGGTCCTGGCTGCAGTTGTTCCCACCAGGCGGGGAGCTGGGTCTTCCTACAGGTCCAAGTCTGCTCGGGAACTTGTCTGATATGGCTGGATGGTGCTGAAACACCCTAGAGTTAGCGGGAGGGGACTGCTGCGGGACACCACCACCATGGGAGCTGACAAAGGGCATTAACCCTTTCATGTGTGCTGTTTTAAGTGGCTTATCCTTGCAGCAGTGTTTGTGGCATGGGGAGAAGGGGTAGTGGTGAAGGCGGGGATTAAAAATCCCAGGTACCTCAATCCCATCGACCCCCTGTGGGGAGTCAGGTGCTTCGCTCCCTCGATCCTTTGAGAAACTCATCCAAAGAGTCCCATCAGCTGACTCCAGGCCTTTCATTTAGGACTGGCTCTGTGCACTGTTTCTGGCGGTTAAGTAAATATAAACATCCCTCCCTTCCCACCCCTATGGCCCTAGGAGAGCATTGGCTGGAGGAAGGACAGCACTCACCTGCTGGTCTTCTCCACTGAGTCCGCCTTCCACTATGAAGCCGACGGCACCAATGTGTTGTCTGGGATCCTGCGGCGTAACGACGAGCAGTGCCACCTGACCCAGGACAACACCTACACCTACGACACCAAGCAGGACTATCCCTCTGTGCCCACCCTCGTGCGCCTGCTGGGCCAGCACAACATCATACCCATCTTTGCCGTCACCAACCACTCCTACAGCTACTACGAGGTAAGGAGGGGCCTGAGGCAGAGGGTCGGGGAATACGGTCTGGAGGAAACGCTATGGATGCAGTTAACGATAAGGGTTAAACTTAGTGAAGTGACCCACTGGCTGGCCTGCAGTTTGGCTACAATTTAGGAAGGGGGGTGCCAGTCATTATCCAAGGGTACTACCTAATCTGGCCTCCTTCCATTTGCTTCATCAGGTCTCTGCTGGGCTGGAGCAGACAGCCTGTGTGAAACGGCACCTTTCACCTACAGGTCACTGCTTGAGGAGCAGATTTCAGATTAAAGTTAATAGGTCCAGGCGTGAAACACATTTAAGCTGCTGCTGGGCTTCCTGAGCAGGGAGCCTGGGGGAAATGGTCTCTTGCTCTCCTAACTTCAGGATTAAACTGCTGCACTCTGTTTTTTCATGGGTGAAGAGGAATGTGTTGGACTGATCATGATCAGTTGGGGGATGTGAGGCCCTGAAGTGAGATTAAAAAAAACCAGGCCTCAGAACTGTAGAGGTTGATGCTGCCATGGGTAGGGCTTGTGTGTATGTCTCTTGTGAAACAGTGGGGACATCCAGTGGCTAAATGCATCCCAGGGAGATGGCTGAGTGCATTTGATCTCTGTATGAAGCTGAGGGAGAGAGGCAGGTGTTGGGTCTGAATGCTTCCCAGCTGCAGAGCTGCCCGGATCCTGGGTTCTAGAGCAGCCTATTATAGATGGAGGGGGCGGCTATAAAGTTTGAACCGGGACCAATGCTTTCCCATAATTCAGGACTGCTGGTTATCCAGGCTTTTGGAGCAGCCCCAGCTGTAACTCCAGTCTGCTAAATAAATGTACCCAGTGTGCCAGTTGTACGTAGGAGGTGCAGGTTGGGGCGTTGTGAGGGCACTGGCAAGGGGTGCGGAGGAACTCTGGGTTCTGTTCCCATCTCTGGCACAAGTTTCCCGCTTGTGCCTTTGGGTGAAACAACAGCTCTGTGCCTCAGTTCCACTACAATGGGGAGGATAATCTGTTCCCACCTCTGGGGAAGCTGTGAGGACAAATTTGTTCATGTCGGGGAGGTTCTCATGGACTACACCGATGAGAAGCCTCAACATACAGTGCAGGGAGTGAGGGGGTGTGAAGAAGGGGCCTTCTAGATCTTAGGCTGCCTCAGCTCACCTCCCCCTCTAAAAACACTCGTTGAAGCTTGTCCCCTCTTCCAGCCTGTGGCAGTGGGCCTGTCCCTGGAGGGTGACATGCTGATGAATGTATCTGAAGCAGGAAAAAACCTGAGAGAAACCACCCTTTAGCCCCACCTGGGGCCACCTGCACAGTGCAGAGGTCTGGCTCATGCCCACTCCCCCCACCGCCACTGGCATTTATTCAGTAAATCTAATTCCATGAGCAAGATGGAGCCATTGGGACAGGTTGCAGGGAAATACCACCTGGCAAGTCTGCTGAGCAACATATCTGGTAACAGCATCCTCTGCAGCAGAAATTTGGAGCCTGTTACCTTTGGTGCCAGCTGATGAAAATGAACCTTTTCCTGCCTGTCATGGGATGCACAGCATGACAGCAGGGTTTTGGGGCTGACCCTATCCCTCTGGTTGTTTGCAGAAACTGCACCGGTATTTCCCCCTCTCAGAAATCGGAGTGCTGCAGGAAGACTCCTCCAATATTGTGGAGCTGATTCGCACAGCTTTTGAGGTAAGGGCACCTGTGGGCTCTCAGCCTGGCTCAAAGTCAAGCCACTGGATTACTGGGGGCGGGGAAGAAGGAGCAGAACAGTGCATGTACACTACAGCACCTCCAGGCAGACTGAGGGGAGGAAGCTACGTGCCAGTGCTGATCCCCTCTCTCCACCCTCCCACCAGCGTATCCGTTCCAAGATGGACATCCGCACGGACTTTGTCCCCAAATCCATCAAGACCAACATTACTTCCTTGAAGTATGAAAAGACTGAGTCAGGCTCCTTCTTTGTTTCCCGTGGGGAAGTGGTAAGTCCATGTAGCTTCTTGGGGTATCATGGGGTCCCTGAGCACATCGCAGCATGGAGGTACTTATCTTCAAATGCCTTTGCAGTGAGGCAAAGCCATTACTACTACTAGTGAGGCAGAGAGAGACTGAGGAATTTGTCCCTGGTCCCACAAGAATCTACAGCAGGGAAATGAATTTCTCTTCCCACTCTCTGCCCTCTGGTCTCACCTTCTCAGCCCGTGTAGGTTAACAGTAGTTTGTAAACATGCATGATCTCTTTGTGTTATGGGAGCAGGGAATAGGCTTTCTTAGATTTCAAGTTCCTTCTTTCTGTTTTGTGTATGGGATCTTGCTCCAGACACTATTATAATACAGATAAAGGTGGAGGAAAGTACCTTGAAGTCCATCGGTGTGCAGCCAGATCTCATTGACCTGGAAAGGACACATGGTAGAAAGGTGGTCTCCTTCCTTCCTTCACTTGGCCATTTCCCCAGCCTTCCCCTACAGGAAAAGTACCAGCTGGATCCAGAAAGGAGCTTTGAGTACAGGTGGCTAATAGATGCGTGTCTCTTTCCTTCAGGGCAAGTTCAATCTGCGTTTGAAAGCCCTGGAGAAGGTGGGTGGGGAGCATGTCTGCAACCTCCAGGAGAAAGACCGGCAGGGAACAATCCATGTGAAACCCTCCTCACTGAGCGACAGCCTGAAAATTGATGCCTCTGTCATCTGTGATGTCTGCCCCTGTGAGCTGGTAGGGGACCCCGCTGGCATGCCTCAACGCAGGGAAATCCCTGTGTCTTCCCTGATAGTCAGGGAAGGTATTGAACTGGCCTGTGTGTCTGTGCACTGCTGCCCACTACTGGATGGATTCTGCACAGATAAATTGTGTCATGTGCCCTGTACTGCCAGTAGCTGATGCAGAGTCCAGGGGGGGCAGGGAGAACAGGAGGATCCAAGTGCTGCTGCTGCCACCCTGAATGCCCAGGTATTCATAGCCTGAGCAGCACAGCACTGATGCTGACTATGGCTTTGTTATGTTGTTAAGGACCTGAGGATGGTTCTGGGCCCGAGCTGGGGTGTGACAGGTGCAAGACTTTCACAAGTAAAGTGAGTTTGGCTGTTCCCAGCACAGTCCTAATCTGGCCACAGAGACATGTGCTGTGGCCCAAACACAGAGCCACGAGCCTTGTACCCATCACAGAGAAACTGCTAGAGATTTGCCCATGCCCCAGCCCTGCTACCTTTCCTCCTGAGCAATAGCTCACAGAATAGTTGAGCAGAGCCTTTGCCCCAGGTGGGCAAACATGGAAGATCCAGATCCTAGACCATGCTCTGTGACCGCATGGCTGAGCTCAGTCTCTGGAAGCGGGTTAGTGACTTCTCCTCTGCTTCTTGTTCACAGCAAAAGGAAAGTAGATCGTCCAAATGCGGATTCAATGGGGACTTCGTCTGTGGACGGTGTGTCTGCTACTCAAACTGGTAAGGATCCTGGCTAGTACAGCTCCTGAAGTATGCCCCATCCTGGGAACCCCACCCTGCACGTTCAGTTATTCCTGGTTGTCCGAAGACCTTGGTGTGCCCTTGCTCACTTCGGTGCAATGCTCTCTCTGTGCGACAAGTATTCCCAGGTCAGGAGTCTGTGTTCCTGTGGGGCCAGCAATGCTTACAGCCTCTGAAGCACATATCTGAAGTGTGTCTGTATTTTCCAGGCGAGGGGACTCGTGTGACTGCTCCTCTGACTTTTCTGAGGACAGCCAGGCCTGTATCCGCCCTGGGGATGAGAAGCCTTGCTCAGGGCAGGGTGAATGCCTCTGTGGGAAATGCCAGTGCTACTCAGAGGACCTGACCCTGCGCTACGAGGGTGACTACTGTGAATTTGACAACTTCCAGTGTCCACGTACATCTGGCTTCCTCTGTAATGGTGAGTGGTGGGCAGGGAGGCAGACCCCAGCCCAGCCCAGAAACCTGAGCAGCTTGCCAGTCCTATGCTCCTCTGCTTCAAGTGCTGCTGGGATTGCAGAAGGGGGCACACAAGCTGTGGGGAAGAGCAGGGGCAGGACCTAGTTTTTTCTTTCAGGGTGTGTCTTTACCCTGCTGGCCTTTGACCCATATATATCTCAAGATCTGGAATTAACTGGTAGTCTCCCTGCAAAAGGCCAAAGTCAGGTATAGCCTCAGGCCAGTGTGTTCAGGTCTCTGTGGCCAGTGGCACACAAGGTAACGATGTGGCTAGCATCATGTCCAGCTCTCTTGGACCTTCCTAGCCCAAATGTCCAGGTGCCCTTTAGCATATATCCAGAGTGAAGCTCGAGCTCACAGTTTCTGGATTCATGTAACAAGATGCCTCACCTACTCCACTGCTGTGCTCCTCTTCTTACATACAGTATTAGCTGCAACACACTTGGCATAGCAGCTCTTCCCATACTGAACATGAGTGCAGCTCACAGACACCTCTCTCTAGCACTGAGGAGAGAATTCAGGACTTTGGGCTCTGAAAACAGAGGCCTCTGCCACTCAAGCTGAAGGAGGGGGGTTCCACTAGCTAGTAGTAATAGCTCTGTTATTCCTGTCAGCCAGCCACTGGAGGGAGAAATGGTCACGTTTACATACAGAGCACAAGAGAGAGCGTGCTTTGCTGGTCATGGACTAGCTTTGGACACAGAGTGATAGCATGAGAGAGGTGCAGCTCAGGTCTGAGGAGGGGGACCCAGCCCTAGCTAAAGCCAATGGGAAGAGTCCTTCTGATGTGAATTTTATTAGATCATGTCCCTGATCTCTAGGTAGTGGAACCTGTCGCTTCTTTATGCCTTGCTGGTGACTATCCCTCTTCATCTCCCCCAGAGAGAACAGGGGAGGAGCTTTCCAAGGGGAAAGTGTGAGGACAAAACCCAGGTATTGGCCATCTGGCTGGTGATAGGTGCAGAAGTCCTCTGGGGAGCAGCAGGGATGGGATTGGAGAAGCTAGAGCATCCTCAGGGGCCAGGGATGCCCATGGGGTCAGAGTTCACCCATTAACATCCTCCCTCTCTGCACAGATCGGGGTCGCTGCTACATGGGCCAGTGTGCATGTGCAAGTGGCTGGGGAGGCCCTGGCTGTGAATGTCCCACAAGCAACGAGACCTGCATCGACAACAATGGGGTAGGTTGTTCTTCTGCAAGGGCAGCATTGGGTTTGAAGTTGTTCTACACTGAGACAAGGAAAAGGCCAACTGGCCAGAGGGAGATCTGGATTGGAGTGAGCTTTGAAGTCAGTAGGTTGGAGCGAGAAAGCCAGGCTGTGGATGGCCCAGTGCTCTTTTTAGCCTGATGATGTACCATGGAAAGGAGAGTTTCTTCCTGGTCTCAGCTGATGATCTGTCCATGTCTTGATGTGTAAAGACTTGTTGGACCTTGTCATTTTCATTCCAGGGGTTTCCATGGGTCCAGGGGTTGTAGGTGGGTGAGAGGGAGAAGGGCTGCTAAGGAGCAGGTCTGCTGTTTTAGGAGCACCCTGTTGCTACTAGCAATGGGTAACAGCATATTGCTTGTGTTAGAGGCTGACTCGTGGCCCCTTTTTTCCCGTAGGGAATCTGCAATGGCCGTGGGAGGTGTGAATGTGGCAGGTGCATTTGTGACAGCTCCTCTCCCTACATGGACCCCACCTGCGGAATAAATTACTCCATGGTAAGTCTCCCAGCTTTGTGGTCAATGGTCAAGTCAGTGATTGATAGGCCTGATGCATCACCTCTCTGATTGTGGCTGGCTCCTGAGTTCCTGGCAGAACATCTGGCTTGGGGGAGAGCCGAGGGAAGAAAAACAGTGCCAAAGATGTATCCCCGGTGATCTTCTGGGGACTGGGATGGTTCTGCTGTCTCCTAGTCAGAGTATCTTCCATGATGGGTGCCACAGAACTAGCACAGCGAGGCCTTTGGGCTTCGGAAAGACTGCAGAGGGCTCCTCAGCCGTCTGTTTGGATCACAAGTACTAAAATACAGCCAAACATTAAATCTTGTATCTGGATTTCAAAGGAGGGAATGTGTGAGCGCCAGGTAGCTAAGAGCTCCTGTTTCCAACTCTGAGAGCTTGGGAAGAGTCATGTATTGGCTCCATACCTCAGTTTCACCATCTGTAAATGAAAGACCACACAGAGAAATCATTGAGAAGTTGATTTGGAAGGGACCTCCGAAGGTCATCTAGTCCAACCCCCTGCCTGAGACAATCATCTCTATCCAAACCATCCTATACAATCCATAATCTAAACTCTTCATAAGACTACTGTCAACCCTGACACAAGATATAACACCCTAACCTGCCACAGGTAAAGCAGGCTTGTCAGGTTTGAGACAGCTTTGGGGTCTGTAGGGAAGAGCTGCTGTCCCAGTGGGGAAGATAAATGGAGATTGTTTCATAGTAGTGGACCTGATCCAAAACCCCGGTATGAACACTTTATAAATTTGGTCTCAGGCCTGTCTCTGTGGAGATGCACGGTCTCCTTATTTCCTTCAGAATATTTGGAGCAGGGGGTTGGGTTGTGCACACTCCAGGTACGGGAGCCAGCCGCCGTAAACCAGACGGGGATTCAGATTCCATGTTCCACGCCAGATCTCCCCCACCCCCTGCATCTCAATGGAGAAATGCCCCAGGTTGTTTGGGATTTCAGTGTGTGTTTGTGCCCCCCAGCAGATTAATAAAGGATGTAGAGCTAAACCATGATTTGTTCCCACGCAGCTTCCTGCCTGGTTGTGCAGACTTGCTCTTTGCACATTATTTCCCCACTCCATCCCCTCGTTTCTCACTGTCTGACATCCCCTCTCCCTGCTCTGGCATGTGCAGTGTCTCCAGCCCTCACCACTGGGATTTGGTTGCTTTTCCCTCTCTCTCACCCATGCTTCTCACTGTTTGACGTTTTGTGTCTCTGGGGAACAGTTTATGCTGGGGGTGTGTGAAGATACTCGAACCTGTGTCCAGTGCCAGGCCTGGGGGACTGGTAAGAAGAAGGGGAATGAATGCACTAAATGCCCTTTCAAGATCCAGATGGTGGATGAACTGAAAGGTACCAGGAGCTCAGCCTTTGTGCTTCAAAGATGTGTGTAGGTGGGAGGGTGTGTCTGAGTCTAATGTGGTTCCTTCAGGCCATGGAGTGCGTGTGTTGGGGGGGAGGGTGTGGAAAGGGGCACAATAGGGCTCAGCCCCTGGGGGAGGCCTCTGGGCACTACCTCATACATAGTAATAATCTTGCTTCTCTCTCCAGAGGAGGGGGTGAACGAGTACTGTACGTTCCAGGATGAGGAGGACGATTGCACATACCGTTACACCCTGAAAGGAGATCCCAGCATGCCGCACAACAACACCATCCTTGTGCAGAAGAAGAAAGGTGAGCAAGGAGTGAAATAAGAGTGAGGGGCCATCTCCTGCCCACCTCTCTGAGGAAGCCTACAGACCCCAGCTCTCCAATTCCCAAAGGTTGTGCTTTGAGAGTGGCAGAAGCATGCCATGAAAAATTATACTTTATCAGGATCATATCTGGCTCACAAAGGGTGTGTCTACGTGAGACTTTTACTGTGGAGTTGCCTAATTAGCTTCACAATGAAACATCAGCATCTATACATGCAGTGCTATTAGGCTGCAGTAAACTAATAAATGCTGGTGTAGGATAGTACTGCCCAACACAAGTGGCATTATTTGGTGCACTGCTATGCACATGTAGACACTGATGGGGCTGGCTGGGGCACGCGGGTACTTCAGTACGGGGGCTGCCTGCTGGATTGACCCTCACTGAAACACCCCTGTGCCCCAGCCAGCCCCTTTGCTCTGCAGCACATTGAGTCAGGTCAAACCAGACCTGGGCTGGCAGGCTGACCTCCAAGGTCCCCTGCTAGGCAGGGGACCTCTGCCTTGGCTCAGCATGCTACAGTCCCATGTACACATGCAAATAGTGCACCCAGGAGCAATAGGCTCTGGCGCAATTATGCCGGAGTTTATTCAGTCACCTTAGTAGCATGTGTAGACACACACAGAGCTAAGTCATCTGACCCGTAAGGTTCCTCATGGGTCCAAAAATTTGGTGGTGGGAGCAGTGGCAATTAACAGTGCCACTGCTTCCTCACTGTCAAATTTGCAACCTACGCATGGCAAGGTTGGGCCCTGGGCTGCGCCAGCCCCATGAACAGATCGGATCCATGGACCAACCCATCACTGCTCCTCTGGGGCCAAAACATTGGGCACCACTGTGTCGTATATGCACCTTTTTGGTTTAAGCATGAAGTGTGCTGTGAATTTTGATCTAGGAAAAAATTGTGCTCCAGGTATCCAAAGTTGGGGGAATGCTGCCCTCGTTTGTCTGCCCTGACCTTCCTCATCCCTCTGGGAAAGCCCAGGCAAGCCAAGGGGGAACCATGGGACCAGAAATTGAATCCCCACCCCCTCAGAGCATTGTTCGGGGGGGGGTGAGGATTCATTGTTGGGGGGTGAGGATTCATTGTGCATGCCAGTCACTCCATGGGTGCTCTGCTGAGGGCTAATTAGTGCCCCAGGTGGGGATGCTTTTGTGGAGGTGGATGCTTCTCCACTAAGAACAGGATTGACACCTCCCCCTTTCTCTAGTCATTCCAGATAGGCCCCTCAGACGGAAACATACTGAGTCCGTGGTGGCCACCAGATTAGGGGGTGCCCTGAAGTGACTGAGGATCTGGGAGGCTCTCTCTGCCAGAGCCTTGTGGGAGCCTCCACCAGCAAACGCTGAGGGCAGCCCCAGAAAAGCCTGGTTGTACCCTCTTCCCTTCCTCCACCTCCACTCCCAAGCAGAGCTATGGTTCTGCCCCTCTCCCACCTGCTTTCTCTTGCCTCTTTCTCCTCCCCATCCCCAGACACTGGTTGGGTCCCACTGCCCCTAATAACTGCTGATGTGTCTGTTGGTCCCAGAGTGCCCGCCAGGAAGCTTCCTATGGCTCATCCCCCTGCTCATCTTCCTGATCCTGCTTCTGGGGCTGCTGCTGCTGCTCTGCTGGAAGTTCTGTGCTTGCTGCAAGGTAAGGTCCTTACCCACGCTGCATTCAGGCCCTGAGGGGCGGGTGGCAGGCACTGCATTGCTGGAGACACTAAATCCTAGGTCACGAGCTGCAGTTCAGACCTCATGGCTAGGAAGGACTGTGGGGACATGCCTGACAAAGGGCCCCACTGTGCCTTTCTCTGATGCAGCCTGGCTGCCAAAAGGGTCCAGGCAGGAAGTAGTTTAGGAAGGGAAAAAAAACAGTTCCTACTGGAATTGGTGGGAATTTTGCCAGTAACTTCAGTAGGAGCCAAATTGGGGTCAGGATGTGCCAATTCACCTATAGAACAACTAGATTATTTGGGTCCTGCTTTTATTACATACAGCCCCGCTGGTCTGTGTAAAACAACCGCTGTGTGGTAACTGGCAGATATCCAGGTTAATATGTGCTTCCCTGGCATGGTTAGTATGGGGGGTTTCCTGGCCACACAAACACAGAGCAACCAGGCAATCGCACAGTTTGGCCACTGGTATACTTCAAAATGGCTGTTTTTGGCATGTGGAGAGATTTGTTAGGAGGTGAGTGAGGAAAAGCCAGTGAATTTTGGCTATATCTGCATACACTTTAAATCCACTGATTTTTTTTTTAAGATAAGTGCCTGCCTAGTTTTGTGAGCTTGCTAGGAAATGTGAAATGTTTTGCAGGTGCCTCTAAAGAAAACCGTTGCAATGCAGACGCTGCTATGTGTATGGTAGTTAACACAGCAGGGACCAGGGAAGCTCTTTTGTATTTACCTGCAGACACAACCCCCCACAACCACTCCCCAAATGCACCGCTTGTTAAAAGGAGTTGCCTGTTCTGTCAGGACCAAAGCCCAGCACAAAGCTGCTGGGGTGAGATGAGAGGACATAAACTATTTCTTCCACGTGGCTGTTTCTGTGATGCATGTGCACAGGGGCTTCCACACTCAGTGGAGAAACAGCTGGGAGGAAGCTGTCAGGGCCCTGGTGCAGTGTTTGCAGTATGTACCTTGGTGACATGTACTTGCCACCCAAGATGGCATTGAGGTTGGTGGAGATGGCAAAGGCACCTAGGCCGCAGCATTCGAGTGTGGTACTTGGGGAACCTGGTGGCTCCTGGCCAGAGTCTGGCTTTTCCGCCCAAGGTCAAACTGGTCACCCACTCTTGGTGGTCAAGAAGAACTCTGTTTTTGCCTTCCTGTGTATCATGGGGAACTGTTATCTTTGGATCCTCTTTGCATGTCTGAACCAGCTATTTCTCTGCCATAGATGGCAGTGGCAAGGTACTGGCACTGGAGGTGTCTGTCTGTATCTTTGACCACAGCGGGATTGTTCTTTGTCTCCTAGGCTTGCCTGGCCCTGCTGCCCTGTTGTGCACGAGGTATTACAAATTTAAATTGATTTTTTGGAGGGAGGGGAGTGATACTGCAAGTGCAAAACTGTGCTTCCTTCATGGAGGAGGAAAGCCAGGACAGTGCCAGAGTTAGACATCCCTCCCAATAAATCGGTAAAACTCTTCAGAGGCTTTTAGGGCTGAGCAGGGAAAATGTTCCTAGTAGAATGGGCTTTTATTGGAAGCCAGGCTGGGACACTAAGCTCTTACCTGTCCTCCCCACTTCCTGAGCTCTTTATACCAGGGAGCAGGGGGTTGCTGGAGCCCTACAGCCCTGGCGCACATAGCTCCTTCAGTCAACTGAATGGATGCTGTTCAAAAGATATGGAGAGTATTCTCATAATCCAGTTTCCAGCTGGGCAGATGTGCCCTGGGGTCCCCTCCAGGAGCTGACTCATCACCTCTCACTGCTACCCGTAGCTTGTCACGCAGTCACAGTCCCTTGGAGTAAAGCACTAACTCTCGGGCAGCTGAGGGCTCATGTGGCTTCTTGAAAGGTCTTAGGGATGTGGGGGGCGACTTTGAAAGCAAGTTCCATAGAAAGCCAGGAGAAAGCTGGAAGAGCCGGGGAAGGGAAGAGAGGTTTCAGCCTGGGTCCCTTGCTGAGTTCTCAACAGAGAGGCTCTGAGTTGGGCCAAGAAGCGTAGCTCCCTCTCTGGGGCATGGCAGATGGTTGGGGAAGGTGAAGGTCTGGGTGTAAATGGAGGGCTTCTTCCCACAAATGGCATGAATGTAGAGGAGAGGTGAGCGGGGAGGAACATTTTGGAGCCACCCCAGCTGTAGCTCATCCCATCACCTCCCCACAGGCCGCACTGTTGGGTTCAAGGAGGACCACTACATGCTCCGGCAGAGCCTCATGTCCTCCGACCACCTGGACACCCCCATGGTCCGCAGTGGCTCTCTGAAGGGCAGAGACACCGTGCGCTGGAAGATCAGCAACAATGTCCACAAGTCAGGCTTCTCCTCCCATGCAGGCACAAACACCAAAGAGCTGAGTAAGTGCCAACCCTGGGGTGCTGCATAAGGGGCCTGTCACGGATACTAGCGGGTGGGTGGACCTGGCTCTATTGTGGTCCGCTGGCCCTTTGCTGTCCTCAGACTCCTACTGAACTCTTCCCAGGACACACCACCACCCAGCCACCCACACCACCCTCTGCACAGTGCATGGTGCAGGGGGTATGAGATCCCTGGGCAGCTGCCCTGAGGGGTTCTAAGCTAGTGATAGACTTTCTAAGCAGATGTCCCATTTCTACACACTTCCATAGCTCACATAGACATTGCCTGGATTTAGCTTCCTTTGCCCGGAGCTGCTGCTTCAGGATATTCTTTACCACCTGGGAGAGGGGACGATGATTATCACTCCATCCCCCCTCGGCTTGGAGTAGTGCTGGTTCTTCCTCCAGCTTTCATTCTTCAGGTTCTGGCTGTCTCTCACTCGGTGCTTTCTGGATGTGGTGCCCAGTGACCCGAGGGCTGTGTGGAGTATTCTGTGCCATGAAACCTGAATGTCACTGCCCAGGGCTCAGGACACCCAAGGCCACTTGCATTTCCTGGCTTCTAGCAGTTAATCAGGTTGTTTTTCTGGCTGACTCCAGGAGGGTCTAACCTGGTGGGAATTTTTCTCTCCAGTCCCATACGGCATCTCTCTGAGATTGACTCGGCTTTTCACCCAGAACCTCACGAACCCAGACACCCGTGAATGTGAGCAGCTGTGCAAGGAGGTGGAAGAGAATGTAAGGGGGATGAACTGCTCTGTCTTGGGTTTGCCTTTCCTTACAGGGGATGGGAATAAGTAACAACTTGTGCGAGCTTTTGTGTGACAAAGGCAGTGGAAAGCAACAAAGCTTTCAAATGCAGCAAACTGGGCTGTGTTTCCCCCCACTGCCAAGAGCAGTACCAAGGAGAAAGGGGAGGCATTTGGTTCCCTCTGCCTGACCTGGCACTGAGGGATGGGGAAGAGAATAGGTTTTGGGGGCCTGGTGCTCTGTGTAGGTGGGTTGTGGTGAGAGAGAGGCTGGGGAGGACCTGGTCTGGTTTGCTGGCATTGTGCCTGCTGGGCACATAGTCACCTTAGAGGGAAGCTTGAGGCTGTAAAAGATTCTCTCTTGCTCTTTACAGCTGAATGATGCTTACAAGCACATTCTTGGTGCTCTCAAACTCCAGCAGACTAAGTTCAGGTGAGTGACTTGGGGAAGGGATGAGAGGGGAGATGACCCGGGGCAGGGACAGAGGGTGCTGGTAATAAGGGGACACGTAGCACACACCTGTGTACAGTTTCTCTCATTTGGGCACTTGGAATAAAGGGGCACCATAAACTCCATGGGTAAATTCTAGGAGAGACCCTTCTCACTGGCACGGGCACAGCCCTAGTCCTGGTGTTCATGCCAGCTCTCCACGTGCTTGCAACGTTGTCTGCAGAGCTTCCCAGAGGCATGTATCTGGGTAATCTCAGCTACTTCTAGCTACATTCCTGGGACTAATGATTCCCTTGTGACTCCAGTAAGGCCTGATTTTGCCCTATACAACAATACCCTCCTTTTGTTGACCCAAGTTAACCCTTTGTAAACCACCTCTGCTCTCATATCTGGAAGAGTTGGAGCCATGAAGTTATATAAACCATTTTTGGTGGGGGGGTCTCCACTCTAGAGGACAAAGCAAATATCCTGTTGCTAGTAGGAATGACCTGAAGCTGTGTCCTCAGGACTAGAACTCATAAGAGGGTGGGATCATGGGCCACACACCGCAGACCAGAAACTGGAGTGACCTAGGAGGGACTCAAACTCCTGCTCCAGGACTGACATGTGGGTACTCAGCAGCTGGAGCCAACAGGGCAGCTTACATAGCTCCAACCTGCAGGGATCTGAGGTATTCAGATCCCTTCACATAGCTGGAATTTGATGGGATCAGTCACCCTTGCTGTTCTGTTTTCTCCCCCAGGGTGCAGCCCAATGCAGGAAAAAGGTAGGTTGATCCTCCACTCCTTTCAGTGTTTAACTCTCCATTCCTCTCCTGCGTGAGTGCCTGTACATGGATATGTATGTATGAATGTATCAGCTAATAGAAATCCTTGGTAGCAGGCTGTCTTCTTGCACCAGTTGTTGGCAGTGATGTCTGACTGTCAGCCCCTGAGCCAAGCCAGGCCTTCTTTCTCTCACCCTACTTTGGTTGCAGGCAGGACCACACCATTTTGGACACAGTGCTCACTGCCCCCCGTGGAGCCAAACCTGAGATCATAAAGGTGACAGAAAAACATCTTTCACAGGAGGCCTTCAGTGATCTGAAGGTGTCACCTGGTTACTACACCGTTACCTCTGACCAGGGTAAGGCTCTGGAGTAGGCTTACTGACCAAAACAGGGACATGTAGAGAGGACCTTCCAACCCTGACATTTCATCTCCTCCACCTTCACAGATGCCCACGGCATGGTGGAGTTCCAGGAAGGTGTGGAGCTGGTGGATGTCCGCGTCCCGCTCTTTATCAGGGAAGAAGATGATGATGAGAAGCAGCTGCAGGTGGAGGCCGTTGATGTCCCCACAGGGATAGCGAAGATAGGACGCAGGCTTGTCAACATCACCATCATCAAAGAACAAGGTGAAGGCACTGTATCCAGGGTACAAGCGACGTGTGTGTGCCTGCATTTCAGTGCCTGAATATGTCTGTACAAGAGAAGGCAAATTCTTGGACACCCTTTATATAAATTGTAAGGCCAGAAAGAACCATAGCGATCATTTGATTTGACCTCCTGCAGAGCTCAGATCACAGAGCCACGCTCGGGAGTTTCTGCTTCAGGCTCAGTAGCTTGTGGCTAGACCAGAGCCATTTTTAGACTCGTAAGTGAGATTCATCAAGTCAGGTGGGAGGCAAAATCTCTCACATCTGCTCCTTCCTTTCTGTAGTAACCTGGCAGGCTCAATGATCCAGCTAATTTGTTCTCGCTTTCAGTAACAGCTTTCATAGGCACCCTACAAAGAGAATGTTGGTCTGGGTAGAAAGGGACAATTCCCTCTCTTTGTTTCCTCCTTCCCTTTGTCAATTCCTCTTCTCCTTCCTGTTCTTCCCTTTCCCACTTTTTTTCTTTCTTAATGTTTCCATATCATCATAAAGATACCCCTCCACCATCTCTCCCAGGGATTTGTTTTTAGAAACAGCACTGCAGAGACTATGGGATTCTCAGTGGGTTTTTTGCTATGGATTCTTTATTGATGTCTGAAATACACCAATACCTCTGTTCCTAACTCATGAAATATGGGCAGCCACAGAAGTCTGTATGTCAAGATATGAGCCCCAGAAGCTTCATTACTATGATCTGGCAGGTTGAGCGGGACGCTAGGAGTCAGGACTCCTGGGTCCTGTTTCTGGCTGTCCCTCTGATATGTTGTGTGACTTTGGATTCACTCACTCAGTCACTGTGAGCCTACATTTCTCCATCTATAAGTTGATGGTGGGAATCCTGGCCTTTCAGTTACTGGAAATGTAGTGCCTTGATGAGATGATTGTGCGTGAAAACATAGCTGTGTTAAATAAGCACATGCATTTTTAATAAGCCTCCATCTGAGATCTGTGCATTTCACACATTCTTTGTTTCTGATGCCTTTCAGCCAGCAGCCTCATCAGCTTCATGCAGCCAGCCTACTCTCACAGCCGCTTTGACCAGGTGGCTAGGATCCCTATTGTTCGTGAGATAATAGACCATGGGAAATCCCAGATCACCTACAGGACTCGGGATCTTACTGCCAAGGAAGGCAGGGTAAGGACCGTGCCCCTGGGTCCTGGCCAAGCTGGGTGTAGTAGTGTGAACTGTTGGGGTGAGGGAAAGGGTATTTCAGGGTCTACTGTGGCAGAAGCAGATCTCAGTTGAAATGAATGGGAGGTACAGAGAGAGGCAGAGGTGTGGCCTAGTGGTCTGAGCACAACATGGGGCTCAGGAGCCCTATGCTTTTCTCAGCTTTGCCACAGACTCGCTGATGTCCCGACCTTAGCTTCTCAACTTGTGAAATGAGGACGATACTAGCAAATGTTGGCTGCTCAGTGGAGTGGGAGAATCAGTCTCTGTTCATACAAAGTCTCGTAGTGTGAGAACTGGGGATTACCAGGGTTGTCCCGTCTCCCTCACCTGACTGCTCCTCTCTGTACCATCTGATCCACTTGACTCACCACAGACAGAAAGAGAGAACTCTATACATTTCCTACCAAAGCCATTTGACTTTCATTGCCTAAATTAGGGAGCATTTCGTTTAGCTGCCTGGGCATTATGGCTTTTCAAAGACTTTAGATGTTGAAATTTCCCCTGGGATGGAAATCCTGAAGAGAAGTGAGGTCCAGAGTGTCAAGCCCACAGTGGGGCAGGTGGTTCCACCTTCTCTTCCCAGTGGAGGTGGGGATGTGACAGCTGGGCTTGTAGCTGGTGAGCACTGAAGACTTTTCTGTTGTTCTGGAAAATGTCCAGACACTCTAGCAGTAATGGCCAGTGTGGAGAAGTCAGGATAAGCCACAACAACCTCCAGCAGGAATCAGACACCAGTCACACCCCCCAGACCCTTCTACAGCAGAGTGAAAGCTTGGGTCCTATTGCACATGGAGTACACTGCAGAAGTGATGACACTGGAGAAAAGGCTGCGTGTATGCTTATATCCATTAAGAATCCAGCTATTCAGGTTCCTCTCTGACCCTGCTACGGCACTGAGCAATGTCCTTCTGACATAGGAGGGGGTGTTCAGGAGTAGATGGCATGGTGGGGACAGTGCGTACTAATGAGCTGTGTCCTGTGGGTGTGCTATGGGGAGAGTGTGCAACACTTCAGGATGCTCTTCCTCCGTTCCCAGGACTACATCTTCACAGAGGGTGACTTGCTCTTCCAACCTGGGGAGACACGGAAGGAGGTGCAGGTGCCACTGCTGGAATTGACTGAGATTGACACCCTCCTGCACAGCCGCCAGCTCAAGCAGTTCACCGTGGATCTCCTCAACCCCAAGTATGGGGCCAAGATCGGCAGATACCCACAAACTATGGTGACCATTGCTGACCCAGGTGGGTGTGGGCAGCACTGGTAATTCGTGCTCTTCCTGCATTGCCATCTTCACTGGTAGGGAATGATGCTAGGTCAGGAAAGGTAGAGATGTGCAGCCTGTGCAGCATGTTGCATTGACAACCAGTGCCGATGTGTCTCTTTGAACTTATGAGCAATCTGAGATGCTCCTTCACCTCCATGGGCCATATCTTGCCCCTCAGCATGCTGCAGATCTGGGTTTTAATCAGGGTTTGAGTTACGGAGAAGGGAGAGGCTGAGGCCCCCCCATAAGAGAGAAAAGGCCCCCTGTACGATTTGCAATCATAACGTGTGGGGGGGGGTGTCTCCGATTTTATTAGGGCTTTGTGATGAGCAGCCCTCTTTTTTTTTTTTGCAGATCCCCACAAGAATCAAAGTGTAATTTAAATCCTGGTTTTAATCCCATTTCAGCCCCCTCCTGTGGGCATGTATGTTGCTATATGTGGCCTAGCCAGTGTATTTAAGTGTATGTTTTGAGCTCCCCTTGAGGTAGAAGTGTACATCTTAGCTCATTCCCAGGAATGAGAGGAGCTGCCCGATACATATTGCAAACAGAAGCAGAACCGTTTTTTTTCCTATTTCTCTTTTCCTATGGATTTTTTTTGCAGCCATCACTGTGGCAGGGGGGAGGAGGAGGCAGCCTGATAAACCACATAGCACTACCTACATCATTAAAGTGAAGGCACACATCAGGGGGACTCCCTGAGGTTCAGAGACCTGTGCAGAAATACATGGAGAAATCTTTTTGCACATGGCAGGCTATGTATGGGTGTCTGGTAGGCATGGTCAGAGAGCTAAATGTTATCACTGCTGGCTGGATAGAGAACACTGAAATCATTGCACGGGTTCTGGGTGTGGATACACGCAGGCTGGAAATTCAGAAAAGGGTTCTGGCCCCCAGAGGAGTACAGTCTAGAAAAAGGCTCCCAACAGGGCAAAATACCTACCTAGTTTTAAAATGGAACTTGGTCAGTTTGAGAGTGATTGTATGATCTGATTGCTGACAGAAGCAAGGGGCTGGACTTGATGGCCTAAAGGGTCCCTTCCCAGCCTGTATTCCCATAATGATACCAGGGCGACTCAGTTAAACTGTGATCAGAACAATGCATTATTATTGAAGCATCATGAAATGTGATATATTGCAACCAGGCAGCCCCAGAAAGCCAAGCCAAGAGGGAGGCATGTCCAGTTATTCACCTTTGTGGCATAAACCTAAAGTGGAATTTGGAAGAGGCAACACGATTTAGTGGTTAGTTCATGGGTACAAGACTCCTGGGGTCTATTCTTGGCTCTGGCTCTGACTGGCTGTGTGACCCAGGGCATGTCATACCACTGCTCTGTGCCTCAGTTTCCCTTCTCTGTGAGACATAGGTAATAGTGACCCATCTCTTAGAGGATTTTGAGGACTAATTCAGTGGTGATTGTGCAGTGTGGTGAGAGCCAAGATAGAAGGAGCTGGAGAAGCAGCATTTCTCTGCATGTGGACAGTCTCTTCTTGTCTCCTCCTGTACATGATGTTTTCTTCTCCCCTGGCAGAGGTCGTAGATGGCACACCATTACCACTGGGTCTGGGCCAAGTCCCTCATTCTCCCAAGGGCAAGATCAGTGCTCCACTCAATCCAAATGCCCAGGCCCTCAACTCCAGAAAGATCCGGTTCAACTGGCTGCCACCCCCTGGCAAACCTCTGGGGTACAAGGTAAGGGATACCCAGATTCCTGGGCAGGCAGGGATGTCTCATGGGCAGCTGGTTGTATTAGCATATCAAGGGCATTCCTGTCCAAGGGTCCAGCAGCCTGTGGCAGTGAAAGGAGGGGACTAGAAGGTGGAGGCCCAAGGAAGGGTCTTGTGGTTGCATGGGCTCACACAGGCTTTGCTGGATCTGTGGACACTGGTATGGAAATATTAAATCTTATTTGACTACAGCAGGGAATGGGGCTGCCTGGGGTCTACTTCCTATCCTGTGCCATCTGTCTGTGTATTTTGTGGGTAGGACTGTCATGTAGGAGTGACAACTCTGAACAGAGCCAAGCATAGCGCACACAAGTTTCATGGGAAGCTTCCCTGTGCATCTCTGTCAATGACTGTGGGGTCTTCTCTCCTACACCCCCAGCTCACTGGGGACTCTGTTGAAACCACCAGCCATATATCACTGGTGTCCTTGCATTTGATGCAGGGGTTCTCCTGAGAGAAAAAGCTAGTGCATTCTCACTGAGTGCACCAGGGGATGCTGCTAGGAGGAAAGACAGTTTCTGAACAGTGCAATCTCACTCTCCCACAGAAAGTGGGACAAGCACCTTAAGAACTACCCAGGGCAAAGCTCCAGGAAATGTACTCCTGCTCTGGCTGGGGGATGGAATAGGTAGTCAGTGTTGCATATAGTATGGAGTCCCCCCTCTGCTACAGTAGGTGAACAGAAAGTCTGTGAAATGTGTAACTTCAGCCCCCAAAACAGGGCATGGGGTGGGACTTCAGGTTTTCTCTCTGATGGCAGGTGAAGTACTGGATCCAAGGGGACCCTGAGTCGGAAGCCCGACTGATCGATTCCAAGGTCCCATCAACAGAGCTGAGTAACCTGTACCCTTTCTGCGACTATGAGATGCAGGTCTCTGCCTACAATAGCTTGGGCCAGGGCCCCTACTCCAATGTTGTCCATTGCCGCACGCTGGAAGAAGGTGAGCTGCCTATCCCGCCTACATCTTGTTCCCATGGAGCGGTGCAACATTTACGAGACCCAGTGGGCATCTGATGTCTGAATGTCTTTGGAAGTGCAGTCAGGATAGCGTGATCTTTTATGGGGTCTTGTCTAATGGTTTGTTCACCAAAAGGGAGGCCAGGAAGTCCTGAATTCTGCTTTCAGCTCCGGAACCGGTGTTCCCTGTGCCCTTCACCTCTGTGTCACCAGACGGAAAGTTGATAGGTCTGAGTTTCCTTGGGGCTGAACGCTCTGTCCTCCTGAGTGCTTTGCCAGGTTTCTGTCTCATGTTCATCACTGGAGTGTCTGAGGCCCTGGGGCCTCTTCCACAGGGTTTCTGAGGCTGCATAAGTTAAAGATGAAGAAATGTGTTACGTGAATCTGTAACAAAAGGTGGCAGGTCCAAGAGGCCCAGATCCTCATACACTGAAGAGTACTTAGGTCTTTGGGTACTGGGCTGAGCAGCTCACCCAGACTGCACCAGTCAGTCATTGACAGCAGGAGCTATTTTACAGAAGAAATCCAGAAGGCTGCAAACTAACAAAACCCTAAATACCAATCACAAAACCCCCATGGCCCAATGCCACTGATGAGGGACACATTGACTGACTGCACCAGCTCTCGCTTTGTATAGAACCTCTTCATTAATGTGCTTTGGAGCAGAATCTGCTGCAATTACATAGGGGCAGTGGAAGAGATCCTCAAGGGAGATGGTTGATGACCCCTCCCTGGCAGAGCAGCTTAGGGAGGTTAAAGGAATGAGGCAGAAGGTTGCACTGCGTGGGGCCCAAGTGGTACCTTCTTTTCTGCCCTCATCTCCAACTTGTAGCCAGGAAGACTTCCTCTTCCAACAAAAAGCCCTATTCTGGGGGTGGGGGGAAGGAATAGAGAAAAGATGATGGAGGATGGAGCTAGACAGTTTTCAGTGGTGGCAAATGACAGAACAAGGAGCAATGGTCTCAAGTTGTAGCAAGGGAAGTTTACGTGAGATATTAGGAAACGCTTTCTCACTAGGAGGATAGTTAAACACTGGAACAAACTCCCCAGAGAGGTGGTAGCATCTCCAGCTGTGGAGGTTTTTAAGACCCAGCTAGACAAAGCTTTGGCTGGCGTGATCTATTTGGGGATGGTCCTGTTCTGAGCAGGGGGTTGGACTAGATGTGACCTCCTGAGGTCCCTTCCCACCCCCATTTTCTATGTTTCTATGAATAGGAATGGAACTAAGCTGAGAGAGGGGGGAAAGCCACTTTGTGGACCCCACCGTGACACATCTTGGTGGCACTTCGAAAATGCCTTTGCACTCCCAGATCTGGTGCTAACTGCCTTCAGATTTCATGGGCTATTCCAGTGGGACAGTGATTAAAGACATCTCCCCAACTCAGACCAGCCAAGCCTCCCAGCCATTAGCCCGGCCCCTTCCACACCGCCCAGAGCTACCCAGCCCTCTCCAGCTTGCCTGTAACCTGGTTTCCTGCTGTATTGTTCCCCTTAGTGCCCAGTGAGCCTGGACGCCTGGCTTTCAACGTCGTCTCTTCTACGGTGACGCAGCTGAGCTGGGCTGAGCCTGCAGAGACCAGTGGGGAGATCACGGCTTATGAAGTTAGCTATGGACTCGTCAACGAGGACAACGGTAAGACAGAGCTCATTTCCTGAGTAGAGGCAGCTCTACAGACTCTAAGCCCTCAGCTGAAATACCCAGTGCCTTGCCCTCCTGCTCCATTGGGCACGTTCTGAGCAGCAGCGAAGCCAACCCGTTCTGGCAGACCCAGAGCTGGGGTTTGGCAGGGTCCGTGTTCTGGGTGCATGAGAGGCACAGGTGGGCTATGAAGTGTTGGGACACCACAGTCCAGCAGAGGAGTTGGGCAGTAAGGGCCTGGTCCTGTGAGTCCTGAGCACCCTCATCTCCCATTTATTTAATCTCACGTCAGCAGTTGCCAGAGGTGCTTAACACCTCATTGGCTCTAATGCAGGGTGCAGTGCCCAGCATAGCAGTCCTAGAAAGCTGGGTTTCTATTGACAGTGACCTAGTAGCCTAGGGACAGGGAACCCTTGCTGTAGGCTCACTTCAGTGCCCACTTTGGGAACTTCCCTAAGGTAGTTAGATCCCAGGACAACTTAAAGGAGAGCAGTGAAGTTTGATTGTCCCATAGTTTGGTTCTCCCGAACCCCAAGTTCACTTCTTAGAGTTAAATGGAAGGTAAATCCATGTTGTTGATGGTGTGAGAGTCCTCAGGGATATTGGCTCAAAGGGACTGGAGCTTTGTCCTGAGCCCCTTTGAAGCTGCTCTCGCCTATGCCAGTTCCATGTCAAAAGCATTACAGGCCAAGCTGATGAACTAGGGAAAGCACCATTCACTACCATGTGAGGTGGCTCAGAAACCCAGGCCTGTTGGCTCCTTAACCACTTGCCACCAGCTCTTTCAAACAGAAGAGCAGTTGCCCAATACAGTCAAATGGAAGGAGGATGAGAGAGAAGGAATGGAAGGAAGGGAGTATGAGTATGTGTGCACACGTGTGTGTATATGAGCACCTGTGTGTGCATGTGTGTGATGGACTTCACGGGATGTACGCCTGCCTACGTGTATGTGGTGATCTTGTGGCATGTGATGATCTCACTGATGGGATGTGTGCATGTCTGCACGTGTAAAGAGCTCACTGGGGTGTGTACTTGCTTGCAGTACCCATCGGGCCAATGAAGAAAGTGCTGGTTGAGGATCCAAAGAAGCGCATGGTTCTGATCGAAAACCTTCGGGAGTCCCAGCCATACCGCTACATGGTGAAGGCCAAGAACGGGGCTGGCTGGGGGCCTGAGAGAGAGGCTACCATCAACCTTGCCACGCAGCCCAAGCGCCCAATGTCCAGTGAGTCACTTTACTTGAAAACTCACTCTCCTCCCTCTTTTCTTCCCTCCTGTGTGTCCAGTGTCCTCTCAGATGCGTCTGTCACTGTGGCACCTGTGTGCTTGAAGCGTTTCGGTTTCCCTCGGGCTCAATGTCAGCTTCCCCCCAAATAGCATATCTGACAGCACTCTGCCTCCCCCTTGCAGTTCCCATCATCCCCGATGTGCCAATCATCGATGCTGAGGGAGGTGAGGACTACGACAGCTACCTGATGTACAGCACCGACATGCTGCGCTCCCCAGCGGGCAGCAAGCGTCCCAGTGTCTCTGATGACTCTGGTAGGTCCTGCTGCATTTTCTGCAAAGAGCAGTTTATGCGGAAGCCTCTCCTGAGCAGAGGAGGATGGTTGTACCAGCTGAACGGGCAGTGCTGGCAATAGGCACAGGCATGCAGCGGGGCAGCAAGGCTCCTTCTCTGTCATGATGGACACAGGGTTGGAGCTCGGGTCTCCCACTCACTGGAGCATCTGTCATGGCATGTTCCATCCGTTCTCCAGTCTCATCACCTACCACAGTCTTTGCAGTAGCCCATCGCCCAGCAGTATGAGAGGTTTTCTTCACGGATGGGCTGCTCACGGGTGTCATCTTGATAGCTGCTTTTTGCTGTAGGCGACTGTGCTGGAGTGCCGCAAGCAGCCAGAAGGTGGTGGGTTGCTCACTTTGCCTCCCAGACCCTGCCAACACAAGTGCTTAAATTGTTCCAAAAGGGTCCAGGTGGAAATATGTGCAGCTGCTGGGGGAGGACTTGGATCTTCGCCACATCACCTGGAAGCTCCCAGCTGAAATGATCCCCCGCCTCTCCGGCAGCAGCTGCTTCTCCTCAGACACCGAGGGTCTCCTCCGTGAGGACAGTACCCCCTCAGAGCTGTCGGACACCAACACGGCCAGCGGCAGCCTGACAAGGAGTGGGACACCCCGGCCCCAAGCAGGTGAAGGACGGCCCCCTCGGCAGTGAATGTAGTGTCTCGTCCTTCTCCGAGCTAAGGGCACAGAACTGGGTTGTGCCCCCTAACATCCCCTGTGTGCCCGTACTGGTGTCGGCGTCATGCTGTGGTCAGGTGTCATAGAGTCTGCTTGCAAAATGGTGTCATGGTCTGTCTGCTCATGAGAAGTGCCAAGGTAACCCCCACCTTGGGCATGGACTGCTAGGAGCTTGCTGCTGCTGTAGGCTTGGATTCTTGGAGAGGAGCAAATAGAAACCATTCAATACCTATTAATAACCATCACTTCCAAGAGGCTGCGCCTCATCTTTAATGACAGCACCGAAGTATCCCTCAGTTCCTAGTGCAAGCCTGCTGGACTGTTAGCCAGAGACCGACTCTAGTAGGTAGCTGGTTTCTGGTGCTTCTTTGGATGGTGACTTAAATGACATTTCCTTTTTAGGTCCGGCTCAGATGGACTCCGGTGTGGAAACCGTAGGAGCCACCTCCTTCCAAAGACCATTTCTTGTGGTTGTTCTTTAATTAACACTGAACATAAACATATGCTTGTGTCAAACAACAGATGTGATTTAGGACTAAATGGGAACTACACGGTGGGACCTTAGCCACGTCCCAAGGCTGAGCTCTTGGAGTTACCTTGGACACTGCAGGTGTAACTGATGTTGTGTGGGGAAACCAGTGTCTACCTGTCTGTCACTTCCTCCTAGTTGTGTAGTTGTCCCTTGTTCTGGATCTGAAGACCTCAAGTCACGTTGTAGAGCAGCTGGAGAACTGGACACAGTTGGATGCTGAGTACCCATCAGGGCCTCCTGGAAAATGATAGGGGCAGCTGCCCACACAGCACTTGCTGGCACTGATGGCTTTCCATCTTTTGCAGAGCACCTGGTGAATGGCCAGATGGATTTCAACTTCCCTGGCAGCGGGGGCACCCTGACCCGGATGGTCACTAGCAGCTACAACCAGCTGAGCTCGCACGTGCAGCAGGAAAGGAGGGTGATGGGGAGCTCGACACTGACCAGAGATTACAACACGCTGGTGTCAGGACATGGTGGGTGCTCAGTTGACTGTGGCTTCTCCCTCTCTTCCACTTTCAGAGCTCTCTTGAGCACCCAGCAGTCAGGGGCACTTCTGGCCCACTCTGAGGGAACTGGGAAGGAGAGGCATTACTCCTCTGATTCCTAGAGCATCCTTAGACAGGAGCCACATACACACCTCTGGCTCCCAGTGCACCCTGGAAAGGGGGCTGCATCCACCCTGCCAACCCCCGCAGCATGCTGGGAAGGGGCAATGCATCTAACACCTGATCCCCAGGGCACCACCAGGCCTTTTACACTATCCCCCTGTGAATTCCTCCCGCTCCCAGTGTCTGAGTCCACCTAGCCATGAGGAGAGGGCTGAGAACGGCTCTTTAAGGCTGTCCAGCATCTTTCCTCATGAGCCCTCTCTGTGCAGAGGCCCCACTGTGGGCTGCACTGGCTTTGGACGGTTCCAATGGTGTTTCTCTCTTTCTCTCTGTTTCACGCTATCCTGCAGACCATCTGGGGAGGAATCTCCCTCCCATACGTGAAGATGCTGGGAGGATGGTCTTGCTGCCGCGGGATGTAGGTTTCAGGAGCAGGGCAAAGGTGAAGGGTTACTACCCCAGCACTGGCTTTCGGGACTCTATAATCATGACTGATGGGTCCACTGGGATTTGCAAGTATATAGGTACCTCAAACACCAAAGCATTGTCCAGTGTCTTCGTGGGCATCTCCCTTCAGTCATGCATCCCTTAACCAGCTCATCCACCTGCCAGTTGTCTGCTGCAGTCTCCCCCACAGCTTTTACGTGTGTGCTGATCCTCCTGACCCTGGCTGTCCCTCCTTCACGCTGCTTTTCCATTAGCAGGTTCCACTGATCTTGTTAAACCCACTTGAGCTGATTAACCTGCTCCACAAACCCTCCTCTCCCCACCCCTTGCCCTGCTCGTAACGATCTCTTC